TTTCATTCTGGTGGTCTACTTGCCGGTCAGCTGACACAGGCAAGCTGTTTGTATTTCTTCTGATCCCCAGATTTGCTCAACATGTTTGTGGGCATATCGGAAAATTGTTTTATTTAATCAAATTTGCAACAGAAATTTGAATTCGAATAGAAAGTATCGAGAAAACGAAGCCAAGCAGCAATCGCGGCAATTCAAGCCATTCAGTACCACTTGAAGGTATTAGAAGTGACAATAGGTGATGTTGTAAGCAGTCTGTTCGGAAATGCCAGTGTGGATTCCGCCTCTGACTTGCTGTTCACTTTTCCGCCACAGTTTTCTTAAAATTATGTGTATTTCTAAACCTCTCGGCGTATTAACCTCATTGTACCAACGTCTTCCTGACAGGTGTCGTTTCTGGAAGAGGCTGTAACTACCACCACAGTGGGCGTTGGTGGCGAGAATGAGGAGCGGAGCTACAGGAGCTACCCACTATCCTTGGAGGGCTCTTTAGTCTCGCTATCCAGTTTACATGAGGAACGCGGTCTCTTCCTTGCCTCCTACCGGCCTTCGACTCGAGTGCCGTGCGTGCGGCATCTCTGCACGCAGCTGACTGCCACCCAGGCGGACTCAGAAGCTGAGGAACCTCAGCCACATGGCTATGATTGCAAGTCGGTGGTCAGTCTTTTTGGTGGCAGTCAGATGCGCATGCTCTCGAGAGCTCGTCTGTTCCGACAAGAAAAGTCTGGTCGTGAGTGTCTTGCTTCTTATCTTTCCTCTGGCATGAGCGGATTCTTTGAATTCGTCTGCAAGTGGTAAAAGTTCTGCTTCCGTGACTGATACGTATTTGAATTACGGTGGTTGTGTAACTTAATTTTAGCTGAATTCTCTCCCTACTTCTTTTTCATCAATCCTGTGAGTAGTGAAAAGCCTCCGGTGATTTGTCACCTTTCTCGATTTCACGATGAATTCGTCCGCAGTACGTCCCCACCTGCCCGATCTTATCAACAAATGCCTCATTGTGTGTCGTCTGACTAGTTTTGATTCTAGTGCTTGTGTGCGTCTCCGACCAACTCCACTGGAACAACCTTTACGAAATGTTAATAGGCTTATTGACTTTCCGCCCATTTTAGAAGACCAATGCAATGACAGCAATGTACGCATGCTTCCTTGGTTTCTTGAGTTTTCTGCATCAAAACCGTAATTA